TAAACAAAGGGAAAAGCGAGACTCTCAGTTACAGCACAACATACACCAATTAAACCACACTTGACGAAGGAGCATTGGAGGATGTAAGAACAGTTACATATCTGAGCAGTATCATTGATAAACACGGTGGATCTGATGCAGATGTGAGGGTGCGGATCGGCAAAACAAGAGCAGCATATCTACCTTTGAAGAACATCTGGAACTCAAAACAACTGTCAACCAACACCAAAGTCAGAACTTTCAAAAGACAGTTCTGCTGTATGGGGCGGAGACGTGGAAAACTACGGAAGCCATCATCCAGAAGATACATGTGTTTATCAACAGTTGTCTACTCAAGACACTTCGGATCCGTTGACCAGACACTATCAGCAACAACCTACTGTGGGAGACAATAAACCCGATTCCATTCAGTGGAGGAAGAAATCATGAAGAAGAGGTGGAAGTGGATAGGACACATATTGAGGAAATCACTCAACTGTATGACAAGGCAAGCTCTCACATGGAATCCTGAAGGCCAAAGGAAAAGAGAAAGACCAAAGTACACATTACGCCGAGAAATGGAGATAGACATGAGAAGAATGAACAAAAATTAGATAGAACTAGAAAGGAAGTCCCAGGACAGAGTAAGTTTGAGAAAGTTGGTCGTTGGCCTTTGCTCCATTGGGAGTAACAGGCGTAAGTAAGTAAGGATGGCTAGTTGGCAAACTCATTGAAGCCTCAAGAAGCCCAGAAAAAGTCGAAGTCATTCCATCTAGTTACCCTTAGAGGAAAATTCTAGAATATCGATGTGTAGCTCCCCTATTGGATGAATAAGAAAGTCCCCTATGTGCATATTAGCTGTCCAAAATGATGTTTTACTTTCAACCAAAAAAACTATAAATACATGAGATTTTTGTATTATATTTGACACTGTTTTAGGAATAACATTCCTACTTACTAATCATCTGTCTTCTGATTTTGCAACTTGGAAAGGTTTAAAACGTGAGTCAATTGAAGCTAGACCGCCAAGGAAAACCTGGAATCACTAGACGGCCGTTTTTTCCTATTGTGGTACTCCTCAACAGTGTTCATTCACGACCTCGCCTCGCGAAATTGGTTGGAGTTAGATATAAAAACCATAGGATACCGGCTCAGTGGTCTATCGGTTAAGTGCTCTGGCGCAAGTCTGGTAGGTCCTAAGTTCGAATATCGCGAGGCAAGGTCGTGGATGAGCACTGTCGAGGAGTCCCACGATAGAACGAAACGGCCGTCCAGTGCTTCCAGGTTTTCCCTGGTGGTCTAGCTTCAATTGACTCACGCTTTCAACTGTATATATATATGACCCTAACCAATCATAGTATGAAGTACAGAACATTATTTGAGCAAAGATTCATTGTTCTGTTATATATAATCAATAAGCAATGATAACGGTTCATTAATATACACAAAACTTATATTTTAAACCAGAGAAATAGTTGAAGTTTATCTTTAATGACAAGTAGCATTATATGGTTTATAGCTATAACCTACTGATATTATGAGTAACCATTACCAAACTTAATACAACTTATGGAACTTTTGCAAATCAATGATTATTTTTGAAAATCTTGAGGTACAACTGAATATATGCTTTCAATTTGCTGGTTCATAGTGATTTTTATTAGTCTAGGAGGAAAATAGAATGTAAGAATTTACTTAGACTGTTAACAAATATAGTTACTGAATAGTGTCATTAAATGATAGTAATATTACAACACAAATCAAGTCATATTATAAAAGCTTGAGTCGTTAGTTTGTCAGGTATGAAACTTTTAGGTTATTTGATACACAAAAATCGGTTTCGGATAAGAATAAACCACATTCAAATATATCATTAAGCACTTGAAAGATAGAAAACTTTACACAAAAGTGCGCTCCATATACTTTCATGCGAACTTACAGTCACTGTAATAAATATTTTGTGGCAAACAATTATTTATTATTGCCCACTTTTATTTTAACAGATAAAAGAAAGCTAAGTTTGTTGCCCGAGGAGCTGTGATTAAAGTTCATAAGAGACGAGATATAATACCTTGATGTTTAAAAGATAGATTTATCTCCGGGTCCTTATTTGAACCATATTACAAGAACAGCCCACAGTCCCATTAAGCACTACCAAAATATGATCAACTTTAACGTTTGACCACTCATACACAAATGTTAGATGAGAATGTAGAGCTTTAGTAACAGTGTATATTTTGCTGTAATATGAGAAAAGAATATAACTTTACAACTAAAGTTTTAAGAACTTTTATACTGTTTCTAGACTTTCAAAGCGTTGGCACGTGAAATACCTAACTTTTTAAAAAGTAATACCTATCATCTATCTCATTATTTAAATATAACAGTGAACTCTATTTAAACAACAAATCTAAATACTTCAAGGCATGATTAGATTATACACACACTACCATCTTTGAATAATATATAAAACCAAAAAGATAACTCACAACTAAATTGACGCTACAAGAACATACAAAACGAGGATATATGTTATTATAAGTGCTGAAAATGTCGTACAAGGTTTAAAAAACATCTATATATTTCAGAAGGGGCTTTTGTAGATATTTCAATATTCTCATAGTTGAAATCATGAGTCAATTGAAGCTAGACCACCAGGGAAAACCTGGGAGCACTGAACGGCCGTTTCGTCCTATTATGGGACTCCTTAGCAGTGTGCATCCACGATACAGCCTCGCGAGATTCTAACCCAAGATGTACCATATTTCTATATAATACGGATGATTTCATCCATATCTCTTTAAAGCATATTAAAATTATAGAAATAGAATGTTATGAATAGCATTTTACACACATCAAAGTAAACTTTTGCACTACAGTAATAAAGGAATTGTATTTGACTACAAAACGATAATATATAACAGTCAAGGAACTTTAAGCATTACATAAACTAGCATTGTTTACTTTACAACAGATTTTCAACAAAAGTAAATCATACAAACTATAACATTACACTGAAAATTAGCAATATTTTCAACAGTGTCAAATAACCCACGTAAAATCTGATTATATGATCTGTGCTTTAAAGTATGTGGCTCAAATCAATCCAAACAGCCGTAACGCTGATTAGAATCTTTAGTTTGCCGCATTGTTTGTTTTCAGTGATATAAACGATCAAGCTTTCTTCAAGATTGAGGAAACATAATACAATATCAGGCTTTTTCCATGGTATATAGCTCCTTCACAGGTTGATCACCGTTAAGATATGTCCTGTATATATATCGATAATTAAAGCAGACATGCTTAATCCAAAACATTTATTAGATATTATTCTAGCAGAGTCACCAATATTAGGCTAATATTTAATTTTACACTACAGCAAATACATACAGACGTAAGTTTTAGTTATAACCAACGTTCTAAAACCACCTAAAACCGCTTTTTAAACTAAAATTAATAGAAATTCTAAAACTACTCTTAAAAAATATTCGCAAAAACCAACAAGAACCACGTCCTCATGAACTGTTTAGATTTCTTCGACTGTATACTTGAATACAGACGAGAAACAGCAACATATTAGAGTCTATGATTGTTTGAACGCTACATAAGCCCCTACTAGGATAGATGTAGTATTGCTTCACAGATATTAAACATAAACAAACTATCAAATCAATAACTATTAGAGAATCGCTCATGAATAATCTTTCTATAAAAGTATATAACTACAAATAAAGTTCATGAACATTATAGTTATTTCTCCAACTACACACAAGCATAAATCTCGCAATCAATCTCAATACAGAATATGTCACCTACAGGTGGTATTTGTAAGCAATATATTACAAAACCGAAGTGGTGCAGTGAGTAACAATTTTAGGTAGTATCAAGAATTAAACTGACTTTCTGTGCTCTTGTTTTATGACTGATTGGATAGTAAATAGTTAATCTGTAACAACAGAAAAAAGAATTCCATTCGCATGATTATATTACACATCACCACCGATGCACTGGAATGAAACGTCTCAGACTAATATTTCGACGCTATTTCCTAACTAAAAGGGAGATTTTAAATAAAGAACTTGTGAACGATCTTGTGATAAGTTTGAGTGAAAGAACACGTATTTCCATGCTGGTCTATACTTTTCTATCTTTGTGTTCATCAGTAAATTTACCAGCCTTGGAAAAATAAAAGTCTAAACCGTTATGTCATCGGTTGGAAGCAAAATCGACTAACAAATTTATACGCATAAAAATATAGGTGTGAGAACCCATTTAAATAATGAATTTTGGTTTGATCTCCAAAACACTAACATGGCTTTGCTTGAAGAAAGAAGCTTGAAAACGACTCAATATGTTAACCTCTGAAAATTTTTCATCACATTAAGACACAAACATATGTCAGAAGAATAGTCTTTTTATAAATTCTCTTTAGGTTCTAGGATTGTATGTCCAAACTGACAAGCCTATGAGTAGCGAGATTTCAGTCAAAATAGATATTTCAAAATTATAGCATGTGCATTTAAAGTTGTTTGAAAAATAAAATAAAGTAAAACTCTATGTTAGGATGAGTAGTATAAATTGTTGAGTTGAGTAAATTTATTCTTCAAATAAAATTGTGAAATTGGTGACCAAAAAATGGGATTAATGTGGATCGAGAAAAAAAATAATGCAACTACAAATCAGGAATTTACTATGGGCTCAACAAACTCTATCACGCCTCAGAGAACTACAATTACCTAACCATGGATATCGATATACGTAAAAGCCCTGGGGCATTCAAAAATATTTTATAGTATTCGAGAATCGCACATTTTATTTAATTCTAAATATTATATTTTGGGACAGAACAATTACAAATTATTATGCTGTTTATCACGTGTATGTTCAAAGCGGGTTCATTTATTTCTGCCTTTACTTAAAAACACCTTGGAGGTACAAAAACTGCGAAGCAGTACATTATTTTATTTTCCAACAAGTTTAAATTTAAAGTTAGTGATCCGTAAAAGACGGAATGAATTTACCTCATTTGACATCATAAACAAATAAATATATTTAAAAAAGCGCCTCACGTAAATCAGACTCAAGGTTATACAAGAATGTGTGTGATACTATTAAACAAAGTCAAAAAAACGTTTATCCAACAAACTTTGGGAAGAAAAGTAAATGTGCACGATTCTATGCCATTTAAAAGTCCTATTTTTAGTCGGTCTACGGATATGAATAGAATTTCTAGTCAGTATTTTTCAGTTTTAATACATGGGATTACTTATTAAAGTTGTTAACTAAAGTTCTTATTAGCATATATTGTTTCATTAATCATTTGTCTCCGTGGAGTAATCTTAAATTCGTCACAAATGGTTGTTATAAGAGTAAATCCCATAGCCTTCAGCTTACTTTGCTCTCAAGATATTATATTTTTATCACCAGTTGATGTAGATAGTTTGATTGTTATTGGCTCGTGTCCAAAGGTCAAAGCACCATTCTGAATATCTAATTGAAAGTAGTAGAATTTTCCTGTCTATTCTTCAGAATGGTTTCATTTAACATATTTTGTCTTATTTTATGGCCAGATATATGATAATTTCCGAGATCATGGAGCTGTAAAAAGTTTGTAGCTGTAAATAATTCCCCATAACCAATAGCTCATTAAGTGTTCGACATTGGATGGATACAAAGTTACCGTACAAACACTTGGATTTATGGATCTATTAAACCGTAAAGCATTCTTAGAGTGATTTTAGTCTATCGAATAACCTGTAATATTTTTTTGATACTCTTTAAAAACATATTTATACCACAAATGTTTGTGGTGTGTAACTAGTAATGACCACAGAGATGTCAGTTCGTTTAGTAAAACACTGATACACAAAAGTAAAAGATCTAAGAAGAGGTGGTTAGGATACTACTTAAGGGTACTACTATTTTATCACCGTTTTCATCCTTTTAAAAAATGGTGAGACGGTACTTCAAAAGCTTCTTTGCTTTTTCTTCTTTAATCACAAACAGAAAATGGTCTCAAGGTAAAATTTCAATATGTGCATTATGAAATTCTAGGATTAGGCTAAAACTTTAGATATCCCTCACTGGGCAACCAGTTGTACCGACAAACGTTTTTGGTCACATGTGTGGGATTCCAGTTGTCATTTATGGAGCCTGTAATCATTTTTCCAGATAAACTGTCTAGTACCACCTGTAGTAGATTACTGTCGAGATAAGCCGGTCTTAATCCTCAAACACATATTGTTTCTGCGTCTCTGTAATTGTGTGCAACGAAATATTTAGGCTTTCGAGACTGTTTTAAATGGCTCTTTGAATGAAGGGCTAAGTGGTGCTTTGTTACGTTCGACCAAAACGTGTTTGAGCGCTTAAACCCTTGATTATATATGTGACTGGTAACTGTTAATGCTTACTAGTCTATGGTGTCCGAGAATTCGGCGTTCAAACAGTGTTGAACCTAAAATTGAAGCGTCTGTACTCATCCCTGTATCAAGGCAGTTTCACTCGTTGTGTGGTCGACAACTAAGATTTGGTAGTGACGTTTGAACTCTGATGTTAAACAATCATTCCATGGAAATGTCTCTTAATTCTTTAATCATCCGATAGAGATAGACGGTTCATTATCTCACTTCTCGAAATAATTGTTGAGACGGCTTCCCAGAACTACAACGGCACCTCTAGCGGCCTTAGAGGAGCGGAAGAGCTCCATCAAAACAGAACGCAGTGGATCTTTCTAGAATTTCAACGTGGCATGCTACTAGTGAACAATAGCCTGACATGCCTCTTCGCGGATCGGTTGAATCATATTACTGACATAACAAACGATAGTATTTATCAATACCCATGATTTTTTGTGCATTTTGATTCTTGCACAATAAGCACTTTTCTCCAGTCTTGAGGAGCTCTAGCTTTCGAGTGCACAAGTTATATGCGATATATTAGAATTTCCAAGTTCGCGATATAGTAATAATGGTAAACCTTTATTCTCAACAACAATAAGTTACACGAGGAATGCCTATTCACAGGCATGATCAAATTGTTAGAAATGTTGCGTTATTTATGAAATTAGGTGTTTGTTAATTTTCTTTTGCGTGTAGTGGAGCAACTTCTGATACGAAATCAGGCTAGCAAAATATTGATGCTCAAGGAGACAATTAATGAGTTGAAACTGAATTGTACAGTTCAAAAGATGGCGCGTCATAAAAAATCTTTTTTACAAAGATAGGCTATTGTTAGTATACGCTGCAGATGTGATGAATGTTATAAAGCCAATTATTTTGCACATATATTTATGTTACTTACCATCAATTTTCGGGAATCTGCTATGACACCCATTATTGATAGAACAATTTTCAAAAAATGTACGATGTTAGGAGTACTTTGGAGTCACGTGCTAGAAATCAAATTTGGATGTTTTATTATGATAATTCAACAGAGTGCTGCTGAATCGGATGAAAGACGCAGTGGACGCCGAACTTAGGGATCATCAGGCTGGATTCCGTAAGGATCGGTCGTGCACAGACCAGATTGCGACACTGCGGATCATCGTTGAACAATCAGTTGAGTGGAACTCATCACTATACGTCAACTTCATCGACTATGAGAAGGCGTTTGACAGCTTGGACAGGAGAACATTATGGAAACTTCTTCGACACTATAGAGTTCTTGAAAAGATTGTCAACATTATCCAAAACTCATAAGATGGACTACAGTGCAGGCAGCATTTCTACAAATGAAGAATATATGGAACTCAAAACAACTCTCAACCAATTTCAAGGTGAGAATCTTTAATACGAACGTCAAGACAGTTCTACTGTATGGAGCTGAAATGTGGAGAACTACTACGGCCATCATCAGGAAGGCACAAGTGTTTATAAATAGTTGTCTACGCAAAATACTCTATCCATTGGCCGGATACTATCAGCAACAGCGATTTAAGGGAGAGGACAAACCAGTTTCCAGCTGAAGAGGAAATTAGGAAAACGTATTGTAATTGGATCGGACATACATTAAGGAAATCACCAATGTGCATCACGACTCAATCCTTAACTTTGAATCCGGAAGGGAGGCGAAAAAGAGGAAGGCCAAATAACACACTACGCCGGGAAATAGAAGCCGATATGAAAAGGATGAATGTTGACTGGAAAGAACTGGAAAGGAAGGCTCAGGACAGAGTTGGATGGAGAATGCTGGTGAGCGGCCTACGCTCCTCGACGAGGGGTAACAGTCGTACTTAAGTAAGTATTATGATAATACATTCACTATTCATTCATGTGATGTTTTGAGCATTTTTTCCTTCCATTACGATCATTCGTATCAAATTGACATGATCACTGATGCCATGTGTTACGAAGTCAATGCTGACTAAAGTTAAAACCAATATTTACAATTTCTTAAGGAATGAGTGATACGACTGCACAACGATAGTACTGTTGACAAAATGCAAGCAGAGTAATATCTCACATTTAGATATCTAATAAGCAAATTACAATTCACTTTTCTAAAAGGATTACTCGAAGATATGATAAGTGGCTCAAAATGAACGTATTACAGTTATTTGTAAGATTGCTGCATACATCGCGTGGACCAAATATGTCGTTGGAAGCGCTAGTATTTAAGTACACTACCAGCTTATCTAGTGTATTGGAGTCATCTAGAAGTCTATTTAACTCATGAATAAGATGGATTATTTCTTATGTTTGACTGATAGCGTATTCCAAATGACTGGAAACGTGCCTGAAAAGAATTCTGGTCGTACAGTAGATCTACAACTTTGTATTTGACCAACCTGGTCAGATGTCTCAGTTTATGATTGTGAGAATCAGTGAAACTAAACGTTTAATTCGAAAAATACGGTATTTTGTGTAAAAGATGCGCACTAGCCCCTGTGAAATTCTTCCAGTTGTTATTCATCTTTCTGATGTTTACTTCCGATGCTCGACGAAGTGTGTTTCTTGACCCTCCTATTTTCCGTTCCCCTTCAGGAGTTCAAGTTAGCGTTTGCTTCGTGATGCAGTATGATGATTTCCATAATGTATGTCCTATTTACCTCTAACGTGTTTTCCTAATTTTCTCTTAAACTGAAAGTCAGTTCGCTCTCTCCCACAGTAGGTTATTGCTGATGGTATCCGGTCAACGGACATTAAGTATCTTGCGTAGATAATTCTTTTCAAACACTTGTACCTTTTCGATGATAGTTGTAGTAGTTCTCCACGTTTCAGCTCCGTACAGTAGGACTTTCCTGACGTTCATACTGAAGATTGTGACTGATATTGTTTGACAGTTGTTTTGAGTTCTACATGTTCTTCGACAGTATGAATGCAGGTTTTGCTTTGCTAATCCTCGCCTTTACATCTGCATCAGATCCTCCTTGTTCATCGATGATGTTACCCAGATACGTGTAAATTTCCACCTATTTCAAAGCTTCTTCATCAACTACGGTTGGTTTGGTCTTCTGTGTGTTGTGTTCGAGGAACTTCTGAGAGGATTGTGGTGCCGTGATTCGCATAGTGTTCACTTCGATAACCGTTATAATACAAATCTTAACGGTGCATAAAATCAGAAGGCAAAGAGAAGTGGCAGCTAAAGTTTTATTGACAAATGACACAGGCCAGAAAATTATTGGCACATGAGTAAGTATCAGCGAGCGAAACGAAAATGACACGCATTAGAGATGGCGGGTAAGCAAACTCACTTTAATCAAGAGTTAATCAATATTTATATTCAGACAAGAATAAATAACAGACATGTGATAAACACGATAATAAGTGAACGCACGCATACGCTCATATAGAAAACAGTCGACGCCAATGAGTGAATAATTAACAAGGTGAAAACATGATTCATGATGGATAGGTGAATTGACTTGTCCAGAAGTTAGAATAAGGCATTTGGGCTCAACATATCAAACGATACTACAGGATCGTCCGTTAGTTCAAACCGTTTACAGCTTGAGTTCCGTTTCCAAATGATTCAAATGGTTGTGTATGGAATAGAAGAAGCTTTTGCTTAACGGGCTTCCTTGTCTAGTAACAGT